ATCATCTACAAATAATAGAAAGTAGCGGTTACCTCCTATTGTCTGTGGCGATATCGGACCGCATATGTCAGCATGGACTAATTCCAATGGTGAGCTTGCTCGCCATTGCGCCATCTTCGGAAATGGTTGATGGGTTTGCTTAGCAATCATGCAGCCTTCACACACTTGAGTGGGGAACTTGATGTTGGTAGTACCACACACTAATCCTCTTTTCACCACCGATTCTAATACTCGAGAATTAATGTGACCGAGTCTCGCGTGCCATAGCTACCCATTGTCGTCAATGCTTGTATTTAAGCACACTGGTTGAGCAATTTGGAGTGTGATCTTGTACAACCGATTCATGGTTGGTTGCACTTTCATAAACAATCGCCAATTTTCATCACGGACCTTTAAATAATCATCCATCATCTCTACTTTGTATCCAATCTCTGTCAATCATCGAAGGCTCAAGATGTTGCTGTGTAAAGCACGTATGTAATACACGTCATTTCCTTTTATTTGAACCGTAGACCCATCTCCGAAGCGCAATTGCCCAGTCACATTCTCATTAAGTTCAGCCAGGTCTTCCTTAATACCAGTCATATGGTTGCTCGCACCATTATCGAGATATCAAGCATCCTCACTCGCTTTATCATTGTTACTTCCTGGAGATACTCTGTCTTCATTCAACAACACCTTCATTGTTGTCTTATCCTGACAGAAACCCAACAGGAGGTATGGTTCCTCATCTTGAGTTTGAGTCAAATTTACTTCCTTGGATTTTCCCTTTGGAGCTTTGCATTCAGATGCGTAGTGACCGTACTCTTCACAATTAAAGCACTTTATGTGCTTCTTGTCTCTTGGTTTGTAAGAGCTGTCCGCAAAATCTAGCTGTCCACTACTACTTCCTCGACCACCTCTACCACGGCCTCTTCCACGACCACCATTTTGACCCCATCTATCACCTTGTGGAGAACCACGGCCTCTGCCTCCTGATGGTGAGAGGAATCTACCTGAAATATTTTGATAGGAACCTGCAGACTTTGTAAGCAACAAACTTCCTTCATTGCTTGTATTTTTATTGCGCACTCGCAAACAATCTTCATAGGCCTTTAATCTCCCAATAGCTTCTTCAAACGGCATGGAGTCCACATCAGAACATTGCTCAATGGACGCTACTAGTTGTAGGTACTTTCAAGGGATGGAATCAAGCAATTTTCTTACCAACACACTGTCTTCGATTGATGTTCCCATGCTATTGTATTTTGATATCTTGCTGCTTAATTTCCCAGTGAACTCGTCTATGGTCTCCCCATCTCCCATTTCAAGAGCCTCGAACTCACACTTTAATGTGTGAAGTCTTGCCTTTTGCACTCTGTCAGCCCCGAGATACTGCATCTTTAGAGATTCCCAGACCTCTTGTGCTGTTTTCTTCTTGGCTACTTGCAAAAGGATGTCTTGTGGCAATGCTTGAAAGAGGAAGGCCCTTGCCGCCTTATTTTTCTTCTCGTCCACGACCTTACCGGCCTTTGGTTGAACGGGTTCCCAATAATGGCCTCCATCCTTATCGCCCATGTCATATAGTTCGAAGATGTTAACATCGGACATTGAAACGGTATGCCACCGATTTCTTTTCCTTGCGTCACGGCTGACATGGCTTCTAATCGGAGGTACTTGGGCATGAACCTGCTCTGATACCAAATGTTGGATCGATATAGAAAAATTATGCAGTAATCAACACTTCTAAATGATCTGAATTTTCATTCAACACTGACGAGAAAACATAAAACATACATACTGGAAAACTACCACAAAAACCAAAATACAAAGCATATAATCCGTCGTCAACTTCTCCTACAAATCTGGTAACCAACTTCTGAATAAAATTAGAAATAAATCTTTTAAGCATAAGATCTAATCTTCTAGAGATTTTTATTATCTCTTTGCAGTTTATAAAATAGTGATGTAACTATAAGAATTTGATCTAACGCTAAACCGTACTACTGACAATTATTCTTCCAATGCTGAAAACTTCAAAATGAAGATTCTCTCAGTCACCGAATGAGAGGTACTTATATATTTTGACATAATGACGATTTCCCATGTTCAAACTCTTGAGATTACATGTGTTTTTGTTTACTTTGTATGATTTGCTTCCACTACAAGCATTTATATGTGTATCTTGTAATTTTATGCCACGCGTCGTGAATATGTAGATCATTGCACTTGCCATAAATTGCTATAATTGTAATTTAGTATGTAGCTACATAAATCAACTGCATTGATTGTTTGCTTTGACGATGATGCTTCGACACATTTATCTTTTCATAGCCGATAAACAATACTTTATTTACCTTGATGAGAGCTTGTTTTATTCATACCACTTTCCACTTGTAATGTACTGAACTTATTGGCATATTTCTCAGGATCTATTAGCAAAAATTGTCGATGCTACTACCATCTAACCAGGGATTGTTTTCGTAATAACAACCACGGGGATATTATCCCGCGCCACAATCCGACTACCATTTCTGCACGTATTTTGATTAGTCTCGGAATTTTCAAAGCTATTTTGATTAGTTTCAGAAATTCCGAGACTTCTAGTCTCGGAAAAATCTTGTAATTTCGGAACCTATTTTAATTCGTTTGTTTATTCATCCACGAGTGGTACATGATCCAAGGGTGCTTGTTGGATACTCGGACGGACTTTAGGGTTTAGCCACAGCCATCCATCTGTCGTACACGCCGGATGCCCGGAGGTTGTTTACCAGGCTTAGGTGCGAGAGTATCTTTTCCAAAAGCACGTCTGGAACATCCGACTCTACGGCTTGTTTATTTGGCCTCCTGGGAAAATCCTCAATTTTGAGGCTCGATTCGTTGCTTGTTTTCCTAGAGATCCTGCAAGCATTATATTGAAAATAATTAATTGATTAAACTGAGAAACAAAATGAACTAACAAATTTCGGACGATAAATATGATAATTAAATGTGTGATGTACATGTAGAATTTATGTGGCGTAAATGCACTAATATACGACATTCTTTATCATAATATGGAACTCTTATGACCTACAAACATTTTGGCACTTTCCGATTTCGCTTTCCGCTGCCTCTTTCGACCCATGATTCCGATGGCTCCTCCAAAAACCTAACACGGACGGCCGGCACTCAGATACTGCTGCAGCGATTGACGCCGATGAGAAGACATGTATCTCGTGCGTTCCGCCCACTCTAAACGACGTCGTATTATAATTTTTATTTATTTATTTCATTATGCCATAGGAAAAATAGCCTCGATGGCGTCGCTTGTTATTATCTAAAGAATATTTGTCACTCTTCGATTTCCAATGTGTTTTATTATTTGAATTTTTTTATTAATAAATAATTGTTGAATTAAGATTTTTGTAATAAAATTTAGATGTTAAAAAATAGTAATATTATTTTTTTAATTGTAATTTTATGTTAGTAGATTATATATACACGGTTTGTTTAATATTGCATTTCTTGTCGGCAAAATTCTCCATAAATATTATCTAAAAAAATGGAATTCTTAAATGTGCGATGTAAATACATGACATTCTTTATCATAAAATAGAACTCTTATGACCCACGAACATTATGGTACTTTCATTCTATCTAGAGAATTAATATGACCCAATAAAGATGCGCACATACATGAAATTGTAAAAAACTCAGAAAAACTTACGATTTCGCTTTCCGTCCCCTCTTTCTCCACATGATTCCGATCCTCCTCCAAAAACCTAACACGGCCGGCCGGCATTGACACACTGCAGTGATTGACGCCCACGGGGGTTCTAGAACCTGTAACGTATAGGCATGGTAGTACACACATATGTAGGAGAACAACCTCGTGAGTTCCGCCCACTCTAAACGACGTCGTATTTTAATTATATTTATTTATTTTATTAATCTGTGGGAACATTAGCCTCGATGGTGTCGCTATCATTTTCTGAAGAATATTTGTCACTCTTTGATTTCCAATGTTTTTTATTATTTGATTTTTTATTAATAAATAATTGTTGAATTAAGATTTTTGTAATAAAATTTAGGTGTGTTTCTTTAGAGGATTATGGGGAAATTTGAGTAGCGGTTTTGTTTTATTTGAATTTACTAGTTTCTTTTGTATTTTGGATTTGGGTTGGATTTGGAAAGTTTTGATGTTATTGATTTGATGGTAATGAATATAATAATATAAATGTGTATTAATTTGTATAATTTGATTATAAATTTATTTTATATCTATATATATATATTTATATATTTTTATTTGTTTGTATTATAAAAAAATTTATTCTCTATAATTATTTTATTCAATTATAATTATTATATTTTTTTATTTATAATTTAGAAAAACTTTTAAACAGTCCAAGTTTGGCAAACTTGGGCCATAGAAACACACCCTAGTATGTTAAAAAATAGTAATATTTTTTATTTTTTAATATAATTAGTAGATTATATATACACGGCTTGTTTCACATTGCATTTTTCGTCGGCACAATTCCCCATAAATATTAACTAAAAAAAAATGGAACTCTTAAATGTGCTATTGACGCCCACGGGGTTCTAGAACCTGTAACATATAGGCATTGTAGTACATATATATATATATAGGAGAACCTCGTGACCCACTCTATACGACGTCGTATTTTAATTTTATTTATTTATTTTATTAAGCCGTGGAAAAATTTGCCTCCATGGTAATATTTGTCACTCTTTGATTTCCAATATTTTTTAATTATTTGAATTTTTTATTAATAATTAATTGTTGTATTAAGATTTTTGTAATAAAATTTAGATGGTAAAAATAGTAATATTCATTTTTATGTAATGTTATGTTGGTAGATTATATAATATGTCAATGATGCTTAAATTATTGTAAGGTTTACAAATACTTTTTTATTATTATAATGATATTTTATGTATAAAATTAGACTAGCTGAATGGCTGGATTAAAGTACAACATAGATCAAACTAAAACTGATGCAAACATAACAACATAGCAACATCAAATGAAATTAATAAAACAACAAACAATCCCAAATGTCACAACAAACAATCCCAAATCTCACAACAAACATTGCTATATTACAATATATAGCAACCTACAACAACAACAAACACTGCACAAATAAGTTTCAAATCCAAATCTGTCCACGGAGCTTACTATAGATAACATAAAAGAAACAGCAGAGGCGGCGACATACGAGAAATTCGCTACCTGCAAAGAAGACATCGATCCAGAAGGCAAGCAACTCAAAGGAAGACTGAAGTGTCCTCAGGAGCATCAATCCAGACATTCTGAAAAGCATCTTTCTCCTCCCAATCATAGCATTTCTTCGATGGATAGAACCTCCTGTCGCTCATCGAATAAGTAACAATTTGCTTCCCATAGTACAAGACTTTGGAGAAGTGAATACAGTGTTCCCTCCTTCTCCCAAGCACTTTACCCCTGATTTGGGAGTTCACAGGGTTTGCGAAGTAGGATAACTCACCTAAACCTTCAGCGAAATCCCAATGCCATTTTTAAATGTTTAGCTTGTATATAGCCGGTTTTGCCGAAAAGTAGAAAGAGCAGACCATATACACATTTCCCTCATATGTTGCAATGAACATCGATTTGAAAAGAATGCTTGGATGCTGAGCAGCAAGGCGGGCAGGAAGGATACCCCAAGCAGACTTTTCAACATCGAAAAATCCCAAATAACCTCTTTTGTTCAGACACCAGAAAGTACCTTCATAGTAAGCTATCTGTTTGAAACCCAATTGGCCAGCCTGCGACAGAATATTGAATTTGTAGTTCTTCCATTCTTTATCTGTAGGACGGCAAATGCTGATACAGACGGTGTTGCCCCACCCTTGTGTTACTGAGAATATGACGCAAGAAGGCGAAGTTGGCGTATCTGAAATAGAGAATCCAATCATCTTTGCAATAGTAGACAACGCTGCTCTTCATTGCCGGCACTTTGAGGTAATAGGATATGCAGTCAGTAGGGTTGTGGAATTCGCAGAGATCGTGCGATTTTGGGATAAACATAAGCCACGGGTGCTTGCTCGCTTTCCTGACAGATTGGGCAGCAAGCAACCACTTTGTACATGAGGGAGCTTGCAATCCCCATCTGGCTCGCCTTCTCAAGTTGCCACAATATTTTTTCCCCGGTAAGCCAAAGCAGATCTGCAAGAATTGAATTATACAAATAAACCAGAATGAAAACATAACAATACTACTTGATAAAGAAGATCACGAAAATGGAACACAAGAAAATAAAACTATCAAGTAGAATTAAAAAGTTTTCCAGTTGAATTTCAAAGCTTCGCAACTCAAGACATTCATTGTACAAGATGAATCAGTTTTACAATCCACAGTGAAGACTAAATTTTTTAGTATCAAGATCAAGTAAGGCAAAAACAATACAACTATTCGTTAAATACTTTAATTATCAGTTCATCTTAACATAGGAAACCATATATATCTTGGACATGACAAATAAAGATCAACAATCCTCACTAAATGTAGTGTGCCCTTTTGATTTCAAATAAAAGAAATAATACAAATGCTCATTAACAACATCATAAAACAACCTTGACAAAATAGCATGATAGCGCAAATCGAGATATGTTTATCAGAGCAACTATCACTTCCCATATAACAGCTTTAAACTTACACGCGCACGTGTTCAATGTAATCAAGAGCTTTTTTAACTGTTTAGATGTAACTAAAAACCATTTTAAGCCACTTTTCGCTCATATTCATTGCTGATATTGTAAGACTTGCAACCAATAAGATTTTCTTGATCTCTTGTGGATAAGAAACATAAATACAATCCACGTGCCGTATACGCATAATTGGAGAAACCGGAAGCCACATGCCATATATAAAAGCATCTGCTATGAAAAATATATGCAAGGATCTAAAATTTTGTTAACGAAATCGAGTAAAAATATTGTACCTAGTTTTGGTTTTTGAAGGCTCAGCCCCAAACCAACTCGAAAACACAAAATCTATACAAAAATACACCCAAAAATGCGAAGAATATAAGAACACCGGCCTACTACCTACGACACAAGATATATATCCCCCACAAACAAAGATACAAGGCTAAGAGAAGAAGCCTACACATTGAGAGAGCCCCTTGCGGCTCAAATCAACAACACAGGGGGAAATAACCATGCCAAGGAACTCCACAGGTAGGAGGAAGGCAACCATCGCCGGAAGGATGGCTAGAGAGATCGAGAAAGAGGAGGGCTAGAGAGGGTGAGTAATATAGAGAGAAGATTATGAGAGTGAAGTGAGTGACGGCTGCCTTCCCCCTCTCTATTAAATAGGTACGTTAACAAGAAATGGACGGCCACGATCTCAACCCTAGATCCAACGGTTGAGATCGTGTCTAATAAAAAGGGACGCGGGTCAAAAGCGGGTCAAGGGTCGCCCGCAGGGGTTAACCAGCGGGTCGTGGGCTGCGGTTATGGGTTAAGGTAAGTGGATCGTGGGCCTGGGTCATAAGTCTGGGCCCAGGTGCACTTGGGCTGCGAGGATGGGAGTATTTTGTGTATAAAATGGGGTGGATCAATTCGGAAGAAAATCCAACAAATTATCCACCTGATTTTTTGTCCGAGTGGATGGGGTACATCATCGCCCATATATTTACTTGCACAAAAGAAAAAAAAAACATAATTTTAGTCAAAAACATTAACTTAGCCTATCTACTACTCTAAGTAGTACAAGGCTAATCGAAGGTATCACAATGTATGTATTTCATACAAGATACAAATTTGTTTGCAGGCAAAACTTTAGTACCCATATCAGATTGGTTATACTCCGAAGAAATCTTTTCTAACTTTAAAATTTCTTTAGATACAATATCACGTATGAAATGAAAACGCACGTCAATACGTTTGGTTCTATCATGAATACAGAGTTTTTACACAATTGGATTCCTGACTAACTATCCAAAAAAATAGTAACAACATGCTGTAAATAACCTAATTCATTGATTAATTCTTTTAACCATAATGCTTCTTTTAAAGCTTCAGTTATTGCAACACATTCAGATTCTGTTTTGGATAGAGCTACAATGTGTTGCAATTGAGATTTCCAACTAATACAAGTTCCACACAAAGTAAAAACATAAGAAGTTGTACTTTTACTACTATCTCTATTATTTGCACAATTCGAATCCACAAAACCTTACAATTTAACACTTTCAGTATGTTTACCAAACACAAGACCAACATCTATTATACCAACTAAGAATCTAAAAACCCACTTCAATGCATGCCAATGTTCTAAAACAAAGTTTGACATATACCTACTTAAACAAATAATAGCATAAGTTAAATCTGGCCTAGTGCTAACCATTAAGTACATTATGGAACCTATTGCATTAGAATATGACACATGTTTCATATATTCAAAATTAGATTCCGACTTGGGACATTGATCCCTACTTAACACAAAATTAGAAGTCATAGGAACAGAAACAAATTTAGCATTACTCATAGAACACTTCTTAAGAATTTTAGTAATATAAGGAGACAGATTAAAAAATAGTCTCGAATTCTTTCTATCCCTAGTGATACACATGCCTAAAATCACTTTGACATCACCCAACAGATTCATGTCAAACTTATCACATAAACACGTAGTCACTTGATCAATTAGCTTTAAACATGGACTAATAATCAACATATCATCAACATAAATGAGAAGAAAAATAAGTTTGTTTTTAACGGTCTTAAAATACAAACAATAATCCAATTTGCTTTTATTAAAATCAAGATGTTTCATACAATTATCAAATTTGATATTCCATTATCTAGGTGACTGTTTTAAACCATACAATGACTTATTCAACAAACAAACATGATTCATTTTGTTTTTATCAACAAAATATTCAGGTTGTTTCATATAAATTCTCATTAAATTCACTATGTAAAAAAAGTTGTTTTAACATATAATTGTTTTAGCTCCCAATCATAAAATGCAACTAGAGCTAACATGACTCTAACAGTGGTAAATTTGACAACATGGGCAAAAATTTCATTATAATCTATTCATTCATTTTGGGTAAAAATCTATAGCTACTAATCTAGCCTTAAACCTAATTTCATTATCTTCTTGTTTAGCTTTATAAATCCATTTACAATCAACAAATGAACAATTACGAGGTTTAGGGACCAAAGACCAAGTTTTATTATCATATAGTGAATCCATTTCTTCTTTCATTGCTTTTAACCACTGATTTTGATTTTCAGAATTCATGGCATCCCTAAATGTCTTAGGTTCATTGCCATCTGAATTTTCAAATACACTAAAAACCAAAGAAGATAAACCAAAATCACCAAGCCTACTAGGCAACCTAGGGATTCTCCTATCCATATATTAAGTCAATTAGAAATTTTCTAACTCATTTTGATTACTACCATCAAAATTAGATTCATTTTTACTATTATTATCAAAATCCGATTCATTTTGATTTTCAGAAATGCTATTATCATTTTCAATAACAGTTTCCTCTCTCACATCAGATTCTACACGAATTTCAGCATTATTTTCAATATTTTCTGCCTCACCTATACTAACAACATTATACTCCAGCTCATTTGGAATATTACTAAAGTCTAGATTTTCAATATTAATTTCAGATTTATCCAAAACAGTTTTTTCAATATTTAAATAGAGCATCTCATTTTCATTGAAAACAACATCTCTACTAATAACAGTTTTAAAGCTAGGTCTAGATCTTAACCACAATCTATAACCCTTAACTCCTTCCGGATAACCCAAGAAAATACATTTTTCAGCTCTCGGGTCTAATTTGTCATTATGAACACGTATAAAAGCAGAACACCCAAACACTCGAATATTTGAAAAATCAATTTTCCTACCGGTCCACTTAAATTCAAGACAAGCACCATTCAAGGGAATTGAGGGTTATCTATTGACTGTATAAGTTGTTGTCATAACAGTTTCCCCCCAATATTTTTTAGACAAACCGGATGAAGCAAAAAGGCCTCAAACTCTTTCCAAGAGAGTCTGGTTCATCCTCTCTGCCACCACATTCTGTTGGGGTGTGTAGGGGACAGTCCTATGTCTATTTATACCATTTTCTTGACAAAAATCATCAAACCAGGAGTTGCAAAATTCTAAACCATAATGAGTTCTTAGATATTTAATTTTCTTTCCAATTTGATTTTTAATTTTAATTTTCCAAAATTTGAAAATATCAAACACATCAGATTTATTCTTCATAAGAAATACCAATGTTTTTCTAGAAAAATCATCAATAATGGATAAAAAATATCTAGACTCACCATGTGTGGGCTCACTAGTTGGGCCCCACACATCAGCATGTAAATAATCCAACACAGATTTAGATAATTCACGTTCTTCACTATAGGATGGGAAAATTGGACCATATGGTGTTTACCATACACACAATTATCACAATAGGACACTGGATTAAATTTTACATTTCCTAAGGATCTATTTTTATGTAAAATTTCTAATCCTTTATTGCTTAAGTGTCCTAATCTCTTATACCACAAATCATTATTCTCTTTAACAGAATTTATTGTGTTTACAAGCATATTAAAATTTTCAGCACAAGTAACGTACAAATTATTACGTTTTACAGCTTTAAATACAACTAAAGATCCGTTAGTAATTTTTATACAATCATTTTCCCATTTTCCCTCTAATTTTAAATCTGATAAAACAACACAAGATAGCAGATTATTTGATAAACCAGGAATATGTCTCACATTGTTTAATTTTAGCACAAAACCAGTGTTAAATTTAAAATCTACACTACTAATTCCAAGCACATTAGAGACATTATTATTAGCCATGGAAACAATGCAATTTTCTAAAGTTTTGTATTCACAAAAAATCGATTTTAATGGAGTTATATGGTAAGTGCATCCAGAATCAATAAGCTATTCATTCATACATACATTGTTCACATTCAAACAGTCGACAGTAACAGTAAATACATCACCACAATTTTGATCAAGTAATGTCATATTGACTAACTCATTAACATGTTGTTGGCTACCATTATTATTACTGTTTGTAGTGTTATTATTCTTCTTCTTTTTAGGACACTCACGTATAAAATGATTAGGATCACCACAATTATAACATTTTTTACCCCCTTTATTTGGAATTCTAGATCTATTGTTTCCTCTGCTTTTAGATCTATATTTATTACTATTATTCTGGTTTTTATTACTATTATTACTATTTCCAGAATTACCCTTTTTATTTGATCTAAAAGGAGACTTACCTCTAGTATACATGACTTCACCCTTATTGGATTTTTGAATTTGTAAGTCTAATTCTTTAGATTTTAACCCATTAATGACTACATGTAATGTCACAAAATTACGCCCATATTTAATAGCAGATTTCACATCTATATGTCACGGACCGAAACTTTGGCCGAGTATTTCCGAGAGGAAGATGCAGACGGACGCCGAGTCGGCGGTGCACCAACACAGGAAGGCTAGCAGAGATCCTTTAAGATGTTCCGAAACCTCCCAGAATATTCCGGAATATTCTAGAAGTTCCGAGATCGCCCCTCAACCGAATTGATGATTATCAACTAGATTTAGATTATCCGTATATCTTTATCCATATCTCTTTATCTAGATATCTTTATCTGTAGGTTGTTAAGATATAGCATATCCAAGTGTGGATTTGATAAGATATGACGTATCCATATCTTGCTAAGATATAGCGTATCCATGTTAGAGTGCCTATATATAGAGGAGGGATCATCACTTGTACTACACATCAGTTTTGAGAGTTAATAAAACACTCTAATTTGCTCGGTGCATTTTATAGTGTTCTTATTTTAGCATGCGTTAGAGATGAGTGCGAGGCTGTACTAGCGAGTTCTTGAGGGAGTCGAAGAATCGCTAGGCCGATGGGAAGGTGTTCGAGGAGGAACCATCTGACCCGTTGCACATGTATGAGTTAGGTATCGCATTTAACAAAACTATAGCACTATAATCATCAATATTTTTATCACCAGTAAGTTTTATATCTTGTATTAGTTTTGAAAAAGTATCCAAATTTTCATCAATTGATTTTGACAAATCAAGTTTTAAACTAAAATTTTTTTCTAACAAATACAACGTACTAGGAAGTGAAGTTTAAGTGTATAGTTTATCCAATTTGTTCTATAATGCAAAGCAGATTCTTGTTTACCTATTTTTCTAATTACATGATCTGCTACGTTAAGTATTATAATAGAGTAAATCATTTCAT